TCTTCTGCCACTGAAACACACTGCCCTCTTAGAAGAGAATGTTGTTGTTATTAAGTGTCCTCAAGTCAATTCCCACTCATAGAGACCCTGTATAGGCATTCTGAGGTTATAAATCTTTGTGGAAGCAAAAAGCTCTTCTTTCTCCCACGTAGGAGAGAATGTTGTTAAGTGCTGAAGAGTTGGTTCTGACTCATAGTGACTGTATAGGATTTCTGAGGAGCAACTGGTGGGTATGAACCCCCAGCCTTGTGGTTCGTAGTCCAGTACTGATCCTATAGTGACACACCAGAAGAGAATAGAAGACACTAATTTGGTGTGCTTCTGTGGGTTACTGGACTGGACTGCAAGGTCAGTTTGAACTCCAAGGTGGGTGGCTCAAACTCACCAGTTGCTCCTCAGAAACCTTATACTGGGTTGCTTTGGGTTGGAACCAACTTGATGGCACTTCACAATATTGGAGCAAGCAACTATATTACAGATGAATAGGCCCTATGTGGATATTTTACTGAATCCTTTCTGCTCCAAAACAGCTGAGGGACATATGTTGTTGTTATGTGCCGTGGAGTTGGCTATGAGGGGCATATACTCATGTGCTTATTGGTATCTATACTCCTATCACTGAATGAGCAGAAGGAGAAAGGTGACCAAGAGAGGTTATAATTTAAATAATGTTTTTTAAAAGTTTAACAGTTCAACAGTTCTGGGGAGGAGAGAGTAACTGAGGAGGGAAGGGAAGTAATTCCAGGAAGAGAAAAGCAGGAACAAAGGAGTGGATATTACTGGTATGTGAGGGAACTGGCAGTGTGGTGAAGGGCGGGGCTGGCTGACTAGAAATGCAGGCTGGGGCCAGATGTGGGTCTCTATCCTGGGGTCAGTGGCAAGCCATTGACACATTTCAAGAGAGACAGTTCTGTCTTTCCAGGGTATAGGACTCAATGTTAGGACTCAATGTTTATTGACCTGGTAGGTTTGTGAATTAACTGAAATGGGAGAAGTGATAGAGAAATAGGAAACTGAGGAATCTAATGTAAAAGACCAAGAGAGGTCTACGTCAGTTGTAGCAGAAAAATAGATGATGGGACTCATATAAAATTTTTTCAGCTATTTCAGAAATCATTATGTTTACAAAGGTAAAGAAAGAAACCAAAGAGATCCCAAATCATCTAACACCATCTATTACTAAGTATGAAACATTATGTAGTATGCTCACATTTCTATATATATGAGAAGGCTCCCAAAAGTTTGTGTAAAAATGGAATGAAAAGATAATTGACTTTACCCGTGACCTTTTTTAGGCTCCATCACATATCATATAGGGGTTGGAACCAACTCATAGCGACCCTATACAGGGTTTCCGAGGCTGTAGATAGATCTTTACGGGAGCAGAAAGTCTCATCTTTCCTTTGGAACTGCTGACCTTGAGGTTATCAGCTCGACTTGTAACCACTACACTTCCAGAGCTCCTTTATTTATGTGTGTGTGTGTGTGTGTGTGTGTGTATGATGTTGTTGTTGTTAAGAGCCCTAGAGTAAGTTCTGACCCATAGCGCCCCTGTACAGAGTTTCCAAGGAGTGGCTGGTGAGCTTGAACTGCTGACCTTGCGGTTCAAATTGACTTTGCAATCCTGCACATTAACCCACAGCACCACACCAGCTACAAACACATAAAATATCTTTGGAAGGATGTGAGCATTAGCTTTGGGGCAAGGAGAGGGACCAGAGGAGAGGTGGGAGGAAGACTTAACTTTGGTAGTCTACTATGTTGAACCACATTAATATATTATTTATTAGCTAGCCAAAAGGGCATATAACTCCCCGCTTCCTGCTAGGCACCTAAGTAGAGTTCCTGAAAAGATTTCAAAAAAAGAGTAGGGCTTCCGTCAAATGAATTAACTCTCCTTATTTCCTTTCCTCTTATCTGCAGCAATGGGGATAAAATTTGCTAATTCTAGGTTGTTGTTGTTAAGTGCCATTGAGTTGGTTCCGACTCATTCTGACCCTGTTTAGGGTTTCTGAGGTTTTAAATCTTCAAGGGAGCAGAAATCTTCCCGCAGAAGGCTTGCAGGCTGTGGTTCATAATCCAGCAGTTATCATATGGAGCCACCGTGCTCCCAAATCTGGGTTGTTATAATACTAAAAACAATTAAAATAATCCTATGCAACACATGTGGTAACATACCTTGTTGCTCAGTGTTGTAGAGTTGTCATTGTGACTCTGCATAGGGTTTCCAAGACTGCCAATCTATGCTGGAGCAGAAAGCCTCATCTTTCTCACCAGGAGTGGTTGGTGTGCTCAAACCACTAACCATGTGGTTGGTAGTCCACTGCTTATCCTATAGTTACCATGCTCCCAGTAAAATATCTGGCATAGACTAAATACTTAATACGTAGTAGTTACTTTTTTTTCAATCAATAAAACTTCTTTGCTACACTGTAAATACAAGAAAAATTTCCCGGTCTAATTAAATGTATATTCATTAACTAATCTTATTCTTATATTAAATATAAATATTTACATTGTACAAAATGATTAAATATAAATATTTACATTGTACAAAATGTAACCCATCTGATGAACACTAAACATATCTATTACTAGAAATGTAAACTGAAGATATGATGTACCTGCATTTGTAGCTGGGTGTTAAGTTTTTCTTTTTCTTTAAATGGCATTGAATCTAAATTTACTGAGGTCATATATTCACAGAGGACTAAATTCCAGCTACGTACCAGGAGGCATCAAGAAAATAAATAATAACTTGCTATCCTCGAGGAACTGGCAAGCCCAGTGAGACAAACAGGTGTGACCTTCAAGTAATCAAAGCCAAAATTTGGCACAAGAGATGGAAATACTGGCAATGAGGCACCTAATTCTGCCCATATATCTGCTGGTAAAATGTCAAGTCACAAGTTAGGGGAAGTTACCCTCAAGCAATTATTTGGATTTGTGGATCCCCCCAGATGGTTCTATGCTATAAACCAATTGTAACTGTGGTAATAACAGCTTTTTAAGTGTTACAAAAAAATCACCCTCCAAAATCTTACTACTTATTGTTTAAACAGCCACATCATTATTCAAGCATAGTCAAACAAAAGTTTCTTTGTTATACATTATGAATAATTTCAGGCCATTTTCATGTGAGATGTCCTGACTCAGATCTGCCCCACCCTCTAGAGATGAAGATTTAAAAGAAAAAGTAGCTGGAGTTTAGGATACGTTTTTTATTAAAAGCAGGAAATAAAGATGAGCATCTTCCTGGATTTTTCTGAAATGTTCATAAATGCTTCAAGCAAATTGAAGGCATAATGCCAGAGAAACATACATTTCACTTCATATATGGTACTTTGGGGGAGAAAGAGCATCCTAGGGATGCTTAACAAAAATCCATCGACATAATTATTCAAATATTTCTCATCGAAGCAGATGAAATTCTAATACCAGTCTATAGGGAAACAAAGTAATCATCAATTTCCAAAGAAGCTTTCATTACTGCTGTAAATATGTAACGGATGCGCGCTCTGGAGTAATGACTTCATAGTGTAGCAAACAAGTGTTGTTTTGGAGCCACAGGAGGGCACACACTTGTATTCAACCCCTATTTACAATGGTGGAAACTCGAGGCTGCATATCACAATTGAATGAAGGTTGGATTAAAAAGCTAATCTCAGGCTATATATAGACAGCAACTCTAGTTGGATACCCGCCCTTTTTCTCCCTCCCCCCATTCCATGAATCTCAAGATGTGAGTTACAAAGAGGCTGGGAACTCAGGCAAAGCGAAGAGGCCCTTCTTCCTCCTCCCCGAGGCCGTCTCTAATAAACCATGCGGTATTAGTACAAGTGTAAATTGCTTCCAAACAGCCTGCACAGGCACTACAGGCCGATCAGATCCAGATTTCTTCTACAGCTTTAAAGAACCCAGATAGGAGATGACAAGTAAAGGGGAGGACGATTCTTGCCAAAGGAGAAAAACGTTCTCCCGAGTCTATCCTCGTGCGCTCCCCACCCCTAGCCCCGAGCCCTAGCTCCGGCCTCCCCAGAGCGCATCTGGCGATGCAGCGCACAAGACCACTCACACCCGCCACTTTCCACCGCATGGTCAGCCGTGACCAGCAGGAGGTTTCCATCCTGGGGCAATGATGAGCGATACTCGCACTGAAGATGGTTGAGGACAAGTTTCCCCGTGGAGAGCCGCAATAGGCGCCCCAAGAGGCACATGCTTCCTCCCGGCCACCCCCGGCCCTAGGAGAACCCCCCGGAGAGGCAGCGGCCGCGGAACCAGCAGCTCTCCGCGCTCCCCCTGCTCCACCTGAGCCACCCTTACCTGTCCGAGAAGGTAGCGGCGACGCGCGAGGCTAGAGGCTGCGACGATTCCGGCAGCGGAGGCGACGGTAGTGACGGCGGCAGACAATGGAGGAGTGAAGGACAGACACATTGACACCGACACACTGTGCCCAAAGCAGCCCCGCCTCCTGCACCGCCCCGGCTTCCCAGCCCGCCCCCCAGCTCTGGCTGCGTCACTCCCGGGGATCCGCAGGGATATCTCGAGAGTAGGAGGCCTCTGTCCGACCTGACAAGTCACAGAAGAGCAAAGCACCACCCGAGAGAAAACTTTTAATTTTTCGATGTCGCAAATATGTGAAATGGTCAGGATGCTGGTAGGGAACGTGTAAGAGGAATTTAAGTCACACCCTCCGATTTTCTTATTTGGTTTCTCCTGCTAACGTTGGTCCAATGGCAGTCTCCCACTGCCGCCTCCTGCAGCTCCTCCTCCCCGCCTGGCCAATGTGGTTCTGGGGGCGGCGATTGCAGCTGGGCCTGCAGAGATCGCCAGTCCAGCTCGCAGGAGCTCGCCTTCTGCAAGCCATCCTACAGGAAGAAGGCTAGAATTCCAGTGCTTCCGCGGTCCGCTGCCCTGTGTCCTTTTGCTGCTGACACCAGCCCATCGTTTCTTTCTACGACTTCCAGAGATACAGAACAACTTTCAAACTGGCGGAGGCAATGGTTCACATAAAGAAAGGCGAGCTGACCCAGAAGGAGACGGAGCTGCTGGAAGTCATCGGGAAAGGTATGGGCGTTAGACTGCAATCCGGGCGCCGCCCGCCGGGCCGGGAGCATGGCGGTGATCGGGAGGCGCCCGGGCCGGGTTGAGCCCCGGGTGGTGTTCTGAGAGGTCGGCAGCGGGTCCTGGCAAATAACCCTTCCCGGATGGGTCGGCTACGGGACTCGTGGGCGGCGAGGGGAGACATTGATGGCTAGGTGCGAGGGACGTGCTGAGGCTCGCTGTCCAAATCACCTTTTGGAAAACTCCAGATTTCCAACCCCATCTCAGATTCTAATGATAGTGTGCACATCTCCAAGCTCCTCAAGTAGTTTTGACCACGGTTCTTATTGGCAACAATAGCTTCGTAGTTTCAGGTTCGTAGGCGGGTGTCAGGGGCCATTTAGACTTCCGGAGGCAGAAAGATCTAGATCCCGTGCTGGTCCCCGATCCCTCTAGCGGGACGGATGGAGCTGCTCCACAGAGGGTTTCGGCATAAGGCACCGAACTAGGCCTGCATTTTGTCGCATGAGGTTTCCGCTTCTTGGACTTCCTGACTTACTTCCAGAAGACCCCGGTCACTGCAGAGACCCGCAAAGAAGCGAGAAAGGCACCGAAGACTCCACCTTCCTCTAGTACTGCTGTGATCTTCCAGTTGAGCTCCTTTGAGCTTTCCGGGACCTCTCATTGCGTAGAGAGGAAGTCGCATGCCCGGGGAGAATGAGTGGACCCAGACTAGCCGGCTGCTCAGGAACGGGAAGCCATGTTTCCCCCTCAGTCACCGACTGGACATCCCAGAGGAGTTCTGTAGAGTCCAGTTACCTGACAGGTGACTTAAGCGTGGCTACATGGCTTCTCTTACACCATCACGCGCTGGGATGAGGATGCAGGGATAGTTAATTTTAAGTGCGAGAAGATAGCCACACCTGCCCCGGAGTGGCAGAGAAGCCAGTTACTGTCACTAAGCTTTCCCAGTTCCCAGGCTTCTTTTCATGTTATCTTTTTATTGAGTTCAAAGTAAGGGTTTGAACACAAGTGTTGATGAGCTGAGTGCACCCCATTTGGTCTCAGTTCTGGCTAAATTAGTCTCATAGTTACCATGACAGTTATCCTTTGCCTAGAATTGTTGGGGTTTGAGTTGGTGTTTTTATTATTTGTACTGCATGCTTCACACCGACCCATTTAACTATGCAGTCTTTCTGCTCTGTCTCTGGAGATTTTTTTTCTCAGCCTTTGTTGGTTGGGGAATTCAATTCCGCAAACATGTGAGTTCTAGCAGTGTGCCAGGTACTGTGCTGAGCAAAAAGGAAATAAAAGATCAGTTTTCACTCAATTCAAGGTCACAAATTCATTTTTTTAAACAATCACCAGGACACTCTCACATGCCTTCTCAAAAGCATTAACAGCTCCATGATATGAGTCTCTGAAGCAGGTGGGAAGGATCCTAGGATACAGTCCAAGGTGCCCACCAATTGAGTTATATTATTTATATATAAAATAAAAATAAAAATAAAATTATGTGATTTTTCTAGGGATATTCCTGGGCCTACCCCTGCTCTAGCAATTTGATGTATGGGTACAGATGTGTCACCATTTTATTGGCCTAGGCTGATGAGACAAGAGCTGATGTGAACTTGATAAGGAGTCCTGGTGGCCCTGTGGGTTAGGTGTTGGACTGCTAACCACATGTTGGCAGTTCATACCCACCAGCTGGTCCAAAGGAGAAAAATGAGACTCTCAGCTCCTGTAAAGATTTACAGTCTCAGAAACCCTAAACAGGGCTGTATGCGTTGGAACCAACTTGATGGCAGTGAATTTTCGGTAGGTGAACTTGGGATGTAATGCATTCTTGTCACATGTAGGACCATGTGACATCAGTGCACTCTCTAAAAGTAATGGAATTTATGAGAAAGTAACAAGTGTCACCATCCTTTATTGAATGTTATTATGAGGCAGACATAATTCTAAGTCCTTGGCATGTGTCTATGCATTTAATCATGATGAAATAGGGCTTATTTTTAAGCTATAATATGAAAAGATTAAAGGAATATATAGAGTCAGTGTACCAAAAAGAACTGGTGAATGTTCAAACATTTCATGAGGTAGTATATGATGAAGAACCAATGGGATTGAAGGAAGACATCCAAGGTGCACCAAAGTCATTGGTGAAAAACAAGGCTCCAGGAATTGATGAAGTACAAATTGAAATGTTTTACAACTTGATGCAGCTCTGAAGGCACTCACTTGTCTTTATCAAGACATTTGGAAGACAGCTATGTAGCCAACCAATTAGAATGTGCCCATTCCAAAGAAAGGGGACCCAATGGAATACGCAAATCATTGAGCAATATCATTAGTCTAACATGAAAGTAAAATTTTGCTAAAGATAATTCAAAAATGTTTGTGATTGCAGCAGTATATTGATAAGGAGCTGCCATCAATTCCGCCAGAGTCAGAAGAGGACTTGGAATGTGGGATATCATTGCTTGGATCTTGGCTGAAAGCAGAGAATACCAGAAAGATGTTTACTTGTGTTTTTATTGACTGTGCAAAGGCATTTGACTCTGGATCATAACAAACTATGGATAACATTGCAAACAATGACAATTCCAGAACGTCTAATTGTGCTCACGAGGAATGTGTACATACACCAAAAGATAGTCATTGGAACAGAGCACAGGGATATTGAATGGTTTAAAATAGGAAAGAGGTGTGTCAGGGTCGTATCCTTTCACCATACTTATTTGGTCTGTATGCTGGGCAGATAGTTTGAGAAACTGGTTTATATAAAGAACATGGCATCATGATTGGAAGAAGATACATCAACAGCCTGCAATATACATATGTCACAAACTTGCTTACTGATAGCAAAGAGAACTTGAAGTATTTACTAACAAAAATCCGTGTTCCATATGGATTGCACCTCAATATAAAGAAAATGAAAATCCTTACAATTGGGCCAATAATAATCATGATAAGAAGAGAAATGATTGTAGCTTTCATTTTGTTTGGATCACCAATTAATGCTCATGGAAGCGACAGTCAAGAAAACAAAGGATATATTGGATCAGCTAAATCTGCTGCCAAAGACTTCTTTAAAGTGTTAAAGAGCAAAAATGTCAGTTCAAGGGCTTAGGTGCACCTGACCCAAGCCATGGTATATTTTTTAATTGCCTCATATATATGTGACAGTTAGACACTGAATAATGAATACTGTAAAAGAATCAATGCATTTGAATGATGGTGTTGGCGAATAGTATTCAAAGTATCAAGACAAATTTGCCTTGAAAGAAGTACACCCAGAACATTCCTTAGAAGCCAGGATGGTGAGAATTTGGAGTCCTGGTGTGCCTCTGTGGGCTAATGTGTCAGAATGCAAATTGTTTGAACTGCAGGTTCGGTGGTTCAAGCTCACCAGCTGCTTCTTGGAAACTCTATACAGAGTCACTATGGGTCAGAATCGAGTTTACGGCACTTCACAACAACAACTTTGTGCTTGTTAGGAGGACCCAGTCCTTGGAGAAGGACATCATGCTTGGTAAAGTGGAGGGTTAGCAAAAAAGTGGAAGCCCCAATGAGACCAATACAAAGGGCTCAAACTGAAAACCAATTTGGAGGATGGCGCAAGACTGGACAGTGTTTTGTTGTACGTAGGGACACAATGTTACCTTGTGCATTGAACTGATTCAAAGGCACCCAATGCACATACACATGGGGCTTATGTGTAAGCTATAATATTATGAAAGACACTAATTGTTGGTCTTAACCACAGTCATTTGCTAGTGGTATGGCCTTAAGACAGTTACTTTTTCTGATTTCTCTACCTGAAAGGGGACAATAACAATAAACTCCCCAAAAAGCAAAGCCAGTGCCATTGAGTCAATTCTGATTCATAGCACCCTGTATGGGATTGCTGAGGCTGCAAATCTTTCCTAGAGTAGCAAGCCTTGTCTTTCTCCTACAAAGCAGCTGGTGGCTTGAACTGCTGACTTCACAGTTAGCAGTCCATTGCTTACCCTACATACTTAACAACCTTGTTGTAAGAATGAATGAAGTTTGTGTAGATTATGATAATGAAATAAATTCTTATAGATAAATAATTTAAAACACTATTTTTTGCTATTATAAATACGGTTATCTATATAAATAAGGAAACTGAGGAATTAAGAGGTTATGTAAATCGCCAGATGTTACCCAGGTGGTAAGTGGCAGAGCAGAACTATCATAAAAACTTATTTGCTGCATGGAAAAACAAACTAAACAAAACCAGCACTAAAACAGTAAATTCCATATTCACTTTGAAAGATGTTTTAATTTCACTAGATTGTTATTATCTACACTGTTAATTTAATTTTATAGAATGTAATTTTGTGAATTGAGTGAAAGTTTACAGAGCAGATCATCAGTTTGACATTCAGCAAGTTATATTCTTCATCTCATTTCAGTTATTGCCATCCCCTCCATGTAACATTAGTTATCCCACATCCTCCCTGTGATTTCTAGTTTCCGTTCTGTTCTCCTTCCCAACCATTCTTAACTCTGTTCTTAGGTAAATGTTGCCTTGTTGATCTTGAATGGCTAACCATTCTATTCCATGGTGAGCATACCTTATTAGTGTTGCTGTCCCCTTACATACGTATCTACCACTTGTCTGAAAATTGAGCTACGGTAGTGAGTTCTGTACCAGATCTGAAGGGTGATCAAGGGCCATAGTCGCTGCTTCCTCCATCCTTTTTGGACCAGTAAGTTTGATATTTTTACAATTTTGAATATTGTTACACATTTTATCCCACTCTTTCTAGGACCTTCTAATGTGATCCCATTCAGAACAGTTTGGAGTGGTAGCCAAGCACCATTTAGTTCTGCCCCCAGGGTCATGGAGACTGATGTTTACGTGTCCATTGGATTTATTGATTCCAAGCATCTTCAGTTTCATCACTCATTTTCTTCCGCACATGGAGACACCAACAGCACTCTAGATGGCTGCTCCTGAGCTTTTAAGATCCCAGATGTTACTCACCAAAATA